TGCAATTGCAGATGTCTATGGGCAGCGGTCGCTTCGCCATTTTGGCGATTTCTGGTGGCCGCTTGCTCGTTTGCCAACTTATGTTATAAAAAAAAACCGTATGAAGTATCGAATTCAATTTAAATAAAGGCAAATGCCGTACTCAGACAGGTATCGTAGTGACGAAACACGCAGCTAACAATTAGCAACTATCGATATTCGGTTCAAATTATCGAACTCAACTAAAATTATTATTTTCTTATTAACTAATTTATAGGACAATTCTAGTATTGATTATAGTGTAAAGAATTTAGCGATGACAGAAATAAATAGCGAAATCCAATTCTATTATACGATTTATTTATTCCACGCGGACGGAGTCGCGGGCGAAAGCTAGTAAAAAATATTTTAAATAATTAGTATAAAAATTTGAACACATTAAAAATCTCACCTGAATATCTTTAACATCTGGTAAACTAGCCTCCATTAGTTCCGTATCACAGTCTTTTTTATCTTCTAGAACATTCTCTTCCTTCTGTATATCTTCTGTGAAATCCGGCCACTGCTCTGAATCACTCATCTCGTGGATCTTGATTTTATTCTTCCTTTTTTTTATTTTCTTCTTTACTTTCGTTTTATTCTTCTGAAAAACATTTTTTAGAAATTCATCTGGATTTAAAAAAAATATCACTTTCGCAAATATATATCTATACTATTATAATAAAGGGTAAACACACATTTCTTTGTTGCCTAAGATGTCAGCAATTACACCATATTTTTTAACAATTATTTTTTTAATAAAAAGCCTTACACTTACGTCATGCTTTAGGCTATATACTTCCACGCCATTAAACTAAGGGGTAAATATTTTGGATAAAAACCCTAATGTGGGAAAGAAACCATAAGTTGCTGCCAACATCAAGAAAGAAAGATTGCTAGGGTTTGTCATGTCATGTCATTTTGACATTTGCTATTGATAAATTAACACATGTAAATAAAATAAAATTTTCATAATTTCATGCGGATGGAACCGCACGGGGACAGCTAGTTTATTATATTTGTATGGACACAGTACAAGGTAATTACGTACAATTTAATATTTTATATATTATGCGATTTCGCATAGAATTTAAAAAATACTACAAATAAATAAATCCTATATCAGTCTGTGGTAAAGTAGTTTGCTACTAGTGAAAGAATTATCAAAATAACTATAGTAGTTTTTGAGTTTATTTATTACATACAAAAACAAATATTCTACATTTTAAAATACTAACATTTGACTGCATAAAATAACAAAAAAACTATTAAGTAGTCTATGAGTTATTCCAGATGATATTCTATATATGTGACTATTCCAATTGAGATACATTAAGCCATTCTGACATAGTAACATCCATCCAAAGAAACAAAGACAGTGGTAGAGCCCTCTTTAACATCTTCACACGAATGGGTCAGCTCGCCCGGTGCAATACCACGACCACACAGACAGGCGTGAAGTGAAAGCAATTCCGCGTATAGTCTGATGAGTGTGGTGCCGGAGGCCTAATTTTAGTCCCTTTCCCTTTCCACCCTTTTCTTAACAGGAAAGGATGGGAAGGAAAAGTGATTTTGAGGGTGGAGGAGCTGCATAGGAAGGGGAAATGTCCTATTTATGTCCTCTCCTCCTCCGTCAATGAAGGGTAGGCAACGCATCTACAATAGCGGATGTTTATGGGCAGCGGTCGCTTTCCATTTAGGTGGATTCAGGCCGCTTGCTCGTTTGCCATCTTATATTAAAAAAAAAAACAAAGAGGAAAGATTTACATTTTGTACATATTGTAATAACTCAAAAAGTACTGGACTGATTTTAAAAATTCTTTCACAGATAAACAGCTGTTATTCTGACATTTAATAAAAATTTACAATACATTAGAACCTTGATAAGTTAAAGTCCAAGGGAAACATAAAACATATTAAGTTATGGAGGTTTTAAGTTATCAAGGGTCTATGTTAGAGGCTCTGATGGGAAGGGAACATATTATTTTTTTAGTTATTAAGGTTTGAGTTATCGAGGATTTACTGTGTTAGTAAGATTACCTTTTTACTGGATTCCTTTTCACTCTGCGTCACATTTAGATCTCTGACAAATGTCTCTGGTTCGTAATGCATATCGTCTGTGGTCTCCCGTTTAAGCTTGTCTATGGGAACATCATCATCTGACTCCTCCTTCACTACTATATCTGGATAATTTATATTTACTATTTCTTGTATTTTCAGATTAGGTTCTTTATGTAATGGAAATTTTGCCAAACCGTTCTGTGAAAAAAAAATCTATATACTAGTAGTTGCCTGTGATCCTGTTAGTGAGGAATTAAAAAAAATAAATCAGTAAACAATCCCGCATTCAGCTACCTTCTAATAAAAGTCCCGTCGATACAAAGGCAATCTAATTTTATTAACTACACTAGCTGTTGCCCGCGACGTTGTCCGCGCAATATCAAAATAAAAAAGTAATCTGTAAGTAAGTCTGTCTGTTCGCAAGCCGCGTTTGTTCCGGGTAATCTTCGAAACGGCTGGGTCGATTTCGACCTGACTTTCACTGGAGGGTAGCTGACATTGACGGCCATATTATAGACTACTTTTTTTTCAAATTCTGCGCTGTTAAATGGCGCTAACGAAGTTTGCGGGCGACAGCTCGTATGTATAAAACTCCTAGACTGATTTAAAAAATTCCTGCACTATTAAAAAGCTATGTCATCACTGAGTAACATGGGGCTATATTTTTACTAAAAAAATTTAATTTCATGTGGGCCAAGTCGCGAGCAAAAGCTAGTAAGATTTACTATTTTACTAATATTATAAATGCGTAAGTTTAGATGGATGGATGTCAGAGTTTGTAGCCTTTAAGGCTGAATGGATCTTTATAAAATTTGCCATAGATATAGAGCATAGTCTGGAAGAACACATAGGCCACTCGCTTTGTTTTTTTTTAATTCCACGCGGACAAAATCGCCGTCGAAAGCTCAAAATAAAGATAAAGCTTCAAATTCCAGCTCACCTGTAATTGTGTATATTGCATCAGCTGTGTGTAAGATCGCTGCGCTTGAGACTTGAACCTGTGGAAGCGACGGAGCAGCGCACAGCACTCCCAACACACGCGCACACACACTGACCTGTCATACACCTGGAATACACTTAACTATTACAAAAAAAGTAATTAATCAATTATTTATAGAAAGTTTTGGGTACTTTTTGTCCGAATCCCCATAGGATGTACTTAATTCATCTGTTTTTTTATGTATGCTACGGCATAACTCCACCGCTAGTAGACCGATTTTGATCATTCTCTTTTTATCCGAAAGGTAGCGCTTGCAGGTGGGTCCTATTTTTGTTTGATTTTCTGAGTCAAAGACTATGGCATAGTTATCCTATACTTCTATCATCATCACCATCACCCATCACCTGTAATACTATGTCCCCAAAGGGTCTCGGAGCCTACTAGGTGACTAGCTATACTTCTACCCTAATATAGTAAAGAGTACAAACACTTTGCTATTTTTTTATATTATAAGGTGGCAAACTGAATCCGCCAAATTAGCGAAGCGACCTCTGCCCTTAAGCGATGGAGACGCACATAAGAAGATGTTTCCCCTTCCTATGCGTCTTCTGCACCGTCAAAGGAAAAGGGACTAAAGTTGGTAACTCGCTGATCAGACGAAACATGGAATTGCTTCCATTTCACGCCTGTCTTCTGTGTGGTTGTGGTATTTCACTGGGTGGGCCGACCCATTTGTGAAATGTTAAAGCTCTACCGCTGTTCAAATGTTATGTTGGATGTCAGCAATCATAGAATCTTTTAGAATAATTACTTTTGAAACAAAGTCCTACACTTATGACACACTTTAAGTTATATATTTTCACACTATAAACTTAGAGGGTACATTAGAAAAAATTGTCATGTGAGAATGGGACAACAAATTAGATGCCAATAACAGCAAAGCAAGGTTGCCATGTTTATGCCAATGAAAAAGGTATTATGTGTAATTAGAACATGTAAATGTTGACATTTTTAGATGTCTCTACCACTGTAAAATATTGTTATTGCAAGTAATGTTATGAACTAACCGCAATTTCATTTAAAATTTGATAAAACATGTTACAGTAGCCAGTGTCTCCAATGAAGAATAGGTTCCTCCCCACAGACAAGCATGTTGAGCAGAGATCTTCCATGTTTACTATTTTGGGTGTCATATACTTATATATGTAGCTTCTATTACTTAGGAACTTCTGAAATAAAAGTTTCAAAAACATGTAACACTAGCTTTCACAATTTAAAAAAAAACAAAAGCGAGTAGCCTATTTGTTCTTCCAGGCTATCCTCTACATCTATACCAAATTTCATCGAAATCCGTTCATCCGTTTAGGCTACAAACTAACAAACATCAATCCATCTAAATTTTCGCATTTATATTAGTATGAAGTATGAAAACAAACAAAATGCATGAAAACTGTTTTGTGAATATCCAAGTTTTTCTTTGTAAAGTTACTTATTTATACGTAAAACAACTTTACTTTGTTAGATTTTAAAATGATTTTAAGTTTATACGTTTTATTCAAATAAAATTAATTATACACCAATTTTTTACGTATAAAAGGAGACGCCAGTCGATTTATATGATGAAAATGCAGTTAAAGGAATCTTATATTGTTTTATTATTAGAGGAAAAGCGTATTTTAACGCTTGTTTTTTTTTAATAAAGTAATATTTACCGTTTTCTGTTTCTTAAATAACAATAGTAATCATCTTGTTTTTCGCTCACTTTCACTTATTTTGATAACTTAATGACATATCTTTAGACTTGAATAATTAAAGCAATAGCCTGGAATTATCTAACTACCTATTTATTTACGTATTTTATTTAAATTATTGTTTGTTTTCTATAATGTTTATAATTTTATATAAAACTGAAACGAAGCGTCCCTTTTCAATTCCGGGTCCCTATAATGTACGACCCGATAATGCACGGCCCAATAATCC